AGTCGGTCAGGCGGGCCCAGTAAGCAGCCAGCACCCTGAAGCCCAGGCCCCTCCCCAAGAAGGCAAACAAACATTGGAAACACTTCAGTAGCAGCTTGATCGAGGGCATGGCTTTGAGCCTCTCGCAGCCGCGGACGGTCCACGTGTAAAACACTTCGTCCACTGCCACCGTCAGCCGGTCAATCTTCTGCAAGTGCTCCAGCATTGTCCTGGCCCCTTTGGGAGAAACTCACTTACTCACTGCACACAGAGCACCAGGGTGAAGGGCAGAGCTAAGGGTGAGGGCTCCCCAGAAGGGGGTGTCAGCTCATGTTGTTTACTTCCAAAAGAGGAGATTCTAGAATGGAATTCTACGAATATCAGAAAGAAAACAGGGTCAGCAGTGAAACAGCAGGCACATGTTCCAAATAACAATAAGGAAGACCCTTAAGAACTACACCCCCTGACAGAACACTGGAACAGGAGTGAACAGTGAATCATGTTAGGACAGTCTCCACCAGGTGGAGGACTCTCCTCAGTTGGATAAATTCTTTCCTGCTGTCATATGCGACTTTTGGCAGGAGGTCAGAAGCAAGCTCAGTTCTGATGGCTTCAACAGTTGAATTTCTCATGTGTCAAAGAGTCCAGTCTGAGTCATACAGCACAGAAACAGACCTTTCAATCCAACCCATCCATGCTGACCAGGTTTCTGAAACTTAACTAGTCTCATCTGCTGACATTTAGCCCTTATCCCTCTAAACCTTTCTTATCCACAAACCTCTCCAAATGTCTTTTAGATGGTGTAATTGTACTCCCATCTACCATTTCCTCTGGCAGCTCATTCCATAAATGCACGACCCTCTGCATGATAAAGTTGCCCCTCAGGTCCCTTTTAAATCTTTCCCCTCTCACCTTCTATGCCCTTTAGTTTTGGACACCCCTACCCTGCGGAAAAGACCTTGGCTTTTCACCTTATCCATGTTCCTCATGATTTTATAGACCTCTATAAGGTCACCCCTCAGCCTCCTACGCTCCAAGGAATAAAGTCCCAACCTATCCAGCCTTTCCCTATAGCTCAAAACCTCCAGTCCCAGTAACAGCCTTGTAAATTGTTTCTGCACCCTTTCATATTCAATAACATCCTTCCTTAGCAGGGCAACCAAAATTGTATGCAGTACTCCCAAAGTGACCTGGCCAATGTCTTGTATAGCCACAACATGATGTCCCAACTCCTATATTCATTGCTTTGACCAATGAAGGCAAACTTGCCAAACACCTTCTTCACAACCCTGTCTACCTGTGATGCCACTTTAAAGCAACTATGTACCTGCATCCCTAGGTCTTTCTGTTCAACAACCCATCCCAGGGCCCTGCCATTAACTGTGTAAGTCCTGCCCTGGTTTGTCTTACTGAAATGCAACCCCTCACATTTATCTAAATTAAATTCCATCTGCCATTCTTCGATCTACTGGCAGTTGATCGAGATCCCATTGTACTCATAGATAACTTTCTTCACTGTCCAGCATACCACCAATTTTAGTGTCACCCACAAATTTACGAACCATGCCTCCTATATTCTCATTCAAATTGTTTATATAAATGATAAACAATACCGGATCCAGCACTGATCCTTGTGGCACTCTGCTGGTCACAGGTCTCCAGTGTGAACAGCAACCCTCTATTAGGTTAAAAAAAAGGTGTAAACAGAAAAAGCCAAACCGCCCCCAACACTCGAGGACTAGGATGGCACCAAGTGAAACACAAATAAATTCAAGCAAGTCAAAGAAAACAAATAAATAAATCCTCCCTGTTCCATCCCCATCGAACAGTCCTGGGTCAGAGACAACAACAGTTTAAAATCCAGAGGAGGTTCCCCAGCTAATTTCAACTAAAGATAAAATTCCCCTCACACCAATCCCCATCAAACACATTTGAGACGGGGACAGTAGGGGGCTAATATAAAAGCCCCTTTGGCTCTTCCAAGGAGTCCAAAATCAGAATAAAGGGGAAACAATACAGCCCTCTTCCCAGGGCACCAAACCAAAAACAAAGGCAAACTCAAAAGGCAAAATGGAAACATATACTTCAGAAACAATTAACTAATCAGAATATCATTGTCCAGGTTGATAATGCACTCAGCCCCTCCGCGGCGCCCAGCAATGTTGAAAGGCCTCTACCGTGCTGGTGAGGACTGTGTGCTGTCTCTCCGGAACACCTCAGCATGGACATAACTGCAAAAAGAGGGGCAGACAGTCAGGAACAATGAGCCCCTCTTCGGCCCACAGCCTGGACCTGTTAATTGTCATCCAGAGCCTATTGGATAAGGTGCTCGGTCCCAACACCTCACGTGCGCTTGATTGGCTCAGGTGGGTGGTGAGCTTCCAGACAAACAGATCCCTGAGCGTCCAGAACTTGGCTGTGCCGTGGACCCTCCCCCGTGACATGGTGCCCCTCAATCTGAGCCGTCTCAGGGACATCCTCCCAGCACCATTTTGGACAGGAGGGAGGTGCAATCTCTATGGGTTGATGGTGTGACTAAGCAAATTTACAGGGTGCCAGACCACGTGCATGGTCCGGAGGAGACAGTATTTCACACTTCTGTCAAATGTGTCTTGTTTGTAGCCCCTTCTTAGTTTATTGAAGGGGTTGCTGTTAAAATTATCATTGCTTGACAGCCCACCAACCCTCTACCAACTACCCTCTCCTAACATTAAGCCAATTCTGTATCCAATTTGCTAGCTCTCCCTGGATCCCATGTGATCTAATCTTACTAACCAGTCAACCATGTGGAACTTTGTCGAAGGCCTTACTAAAGTCTACGTAGACAACATCTTCCGTTCAGCCTTCATCGATCTTTTTGTTGGTTCTTCAAAACATTCCAAAGTTTGAGAGACAGAACTTCTCATGCACAAAGCTATCCCTAGTCAGCCCTTGCCTTTCCAAATGCATGCAGATCCTGTCAGAATCCCCTCCAGCAATTTACTTACCACTGACGTCAGGCTCACCAGTCTGTATTCCCCTGGCTTTTCTTTGGGGCCTTCCTTAAATAATTGCACAACATTCCCCACCCTCCTAGCTACGGGCACTTTACCCGTGGCTGTCAATGGTACAAATCTCTGCTTGGGGCCTGACGATTTCTTCCCTAGATTTCCATGATGTTGTGCGATATACTTGATCAGGTCCCAGGGATTTATCCACCTTTGTGTTTTTAAATACTTCCAGCACCTCCCCTTCTGTAATGCCAACTCTTTTAAAGACCATCACTATTTGTTTCATTAGCTTCCATGTCTTTCTCCAAAGTAAAACCAACGCAAAATATTTTAGTATCCCATCCATCATCTGTGGTTCCACACATAGACAGCGTCATTGACCTTTAAGGGGTCCTTTTCTCTCCCTAGTTACTCTTTTTCCCTTAATGTACTGGCAGAAACTCTTTCTTTTGTATTCATTTGTGGGATGTGGGCATCGCTGGCTGGCCAGCATTTCTTGCCCATCCCTAGTTGCCCCTGGAAAGGTGGTGGTGAACTGCCTTCTTGAATTGCTGCAATCCACCAGCTGTGGGTTTGACCCACTATGCTATTAGGGAGGGAATTCCAGGATTTTAACCCAGTGATGAAGGAACAGCGATATATTTTCAAGTCAGGATGGTGAGTAGCTTGGGGGGGAATCTTGAAGGTGGTGGTGTTCCCATAAATCTGCTACCTTTTGTCTTTCTAGATGGAAGTGGTTGTGGGTTCAGAAGGTGCTGTCTGAGAATCTTTATATTCTCCTTAACCTTATCTGCCAAAGTCCTCTCATGTCCCTTTTTCGCTCTCTCTCTCCTCCCCCCCCCTCCGATTTCCCTTCCTACTACTCCCATACTTAAGGAAAGCACTTGATCCCAGCTGTCTATACCTGATATATGCCTCCCTTTTCTTGACCAGAGCCTCCACATCTCTAATCACCTGGTGTTCCTACTCGTGCCAGCCTTCCCCTTCACACAAACAGGAACATGCTTGCCCTGAAGTCTCGTTATTCTCACTTTTGAAAGCCTCCCACTTACCTGTCATCCCTTTACTTACGCATAGCCTCCCCCAATCAGCCTTTGAAAGTTCCTGTCTAATATTATCAAAATTGGCCTTGTTCCAAATTTTTAGACCACACCTATTCTTCTCCAACACTATTTATAGTCACAGGTCCTCAGGTGTCTCCCTCCATTTACACCAGTCACTTGCCCTGCCTTATTTCCCAAGACGTGGTCGAGTTTTGCTCCTTTTCTATTGGGTGCATCTACACATTGATGAAGAAAATTTTCTTAACACACAATTCATCCCCATCTGAGCCCTTAACTTTAAAAACTGGGACTGTTAGTGTTTAAAATCCCCTACCTACCATCACAACCCTTTTATTCTTACAGATATCCAAGATCTCCTTACATATTTGATGGGGGGTGGGTGCTATAGTGCAATCCCATTAAAGTGACTGCCCACTTATTTCTCAGTTCCACCCATTTAGCTTCCATGGATAATACCCCAGGAATATCCTAAGTACTACCATGATGTTTTCCCCAAATCAAAAACACCACTCCCTCTCCTCTCTTATCCCCCTTCCTGTAGCATCTAAACCTCGGAACATTGAGCTGCCAGTCCTGTCTCTCCCTCAGCCATACTTCTGCAATAGCTTTGACATCCCAGTCTCATGTTCCCATCCATGCCCTCAGTTCATCTGCCTTACCTATCAGGCCTCTTGCATTAAAATAAATTCAGTTTAATTCATCAATCTGCCCTCGTTCTCTGCAATGCTCTTGTCTGCCTTATCTAATTAAGTCACTGCCTTATAACTTCTGTACCAGCCTGAGCTTATCACTACTGTTTAGGATCCCAACCTCCCACCAGGCAAGTTCAAAGCCTCCCAAATAACACTAGCAAATCTCCCCACCAGGATATTCAAGGTCATTGCCAACAAAGGATATGTTCTTGAAGACTGGCACTGTGTGAATAAGAGTCACAAGGAGTACATACACACAAGTCAGAAACAGAAACTATTCGGCAAACAACTTTATTGAGGAATTAGAAGAGTCATCAGACACCATGTCACAAATTCCTTAGTTCTTTAAGATCCAGTGACTAGTAAAAGGACAAAAGCAATGGCTGTACTAAGGCCATTTGTCCAGCCTGTCTCCACCTGCAGCCTCCAGTTACCAATAACTATGTACCATGTCACCTTGGTAACCTGGCCTAGGACCCAGGGCAGGGACAGCAGGCACATGGGCAGAAAGGACCACATCACACAGACAGCACAAGGCAGCTGCACAGAGGCCCCGGCCTCACCCTACAGTCACCATTACTTGATGCGGTAAAGAACCTTGCGTTGCATTCGATGCTGAATCTCACCTCGACGCATCATCAGCTGCAGCACCTTGTAGATGGCATGTTCTGGATATTTCTGTTAGGGGGAGCGATGGAGAACAGAGCACATGAGGGGAGGGGTACTCATGACTGACACAATACAAGCAGCCAATCAGCCCATCATGCTTATACCACCTAATCCCATCACAGCCCACCTTTTCCCGAAAGCCCCCTCTCAATCACAAATTAACACCACTGTCCCATTCTCACCTTCCCCATTGAAATACTTCTCCCACGTTACTGAACAGCTGCAACGATCTCTGCTCCACCAGCCAAGAGTCCAGTAAAATTTTGTGTAGTCTTTCTGAAGACTGAGTGAAGTTTAACTCATTCACTAGTCAGCCATTCACTAAATGAAAATTTCTCTACAAGCTTCACCCTTTATTAACTGAATGCCTCAGTTCAATCTCAACTTTCTTAGTTCCTCTAAGAAAGAATCCAAGCAGCTGGAGTCTATCCCCATCGAAAAAGGACACCCATAACTACATCAGAATCTGGTACATCTTCTCCATCTCAATCCCCTGTGCTCAAAATGGAGAACAAGCCCAGCTTCTCCAACTGAATCCTGAAGCCAAAACCCATCCAGTTCACTCCATGTGCTTTAGGGAAGAAAATCTGCTATTTTTAACCAGTCTGGCCTACATGCGACAGCAATGTGGCTCATTCTTAACTGCCTTCTGAAGTAGCCCAGTAAGAGAGACAGTTTTTTTTGGAATTTAGAACCTCATTTCTGGAACTATTCTGATCAAAAATGAACACAATTCTCTGGCTTTCACTGAGTAATTGCTAGTGAAAGGCTCCAGGGTGATTTGAATTGAGATGGGGAGTGGGAGCAACTGGAAACTTTGGCTCCCAAAGCTCTCCAACATTGCTCAAGGTTTCATTTCCCTTTGGCCTGGTTCTAATGGAGACCAACTGATTTTTGTCTCCCATCATTCTTAAAATGCGGCGTGCAGCATCACTGCTGGGTCAGCATTTGTTGCAAATCGCTAATTCCCCCAGAACTGAGTAGCTTGCTAGCCCATTTCAGGGGGCAGGTAGAAAGTCATAGAAATATAATTAATCAGGATCAGGCCATTCAGCCCATCAAGTCTGCTCCACCGTTCAATAAGATTACAGTTGATCACGATGGCAAGATCCACTTGATCTTTGCCTTAAAAATATTTAATGGCCCAGCCTTCACCATTCTCTGAGAAGAGAATTACAAAGACTCTTGACCGTCTAACAAATTAATTCTCTCCATTTCCAGTTTTAAAGGACACCTCATTTATTAAAACTCTTGTTCCCTCCAGTTCAACTCTCCACCACGGGGTGGGGGGGGGGGGAGATGGTGGAGAGCATCACCTCAGTATCCACCCAGTCAAGTTCCACAGGACCTTATGGAGTTCAAGAAGATTACACCTCATTCTTCTAAATGCCAGAGGTTATAGGCCCAACGCCGTGTATACTTTCCCAGTGAGACAACCCCCCTCATCCCAGGAATCAGTGTGTGAACTTTCTGTAAGCCACCTTAACAATATTCAAGGTGACCCTGCCTCCACTGAAAAAAAAACAGAGGCCAACAACACTGCAAGAGGAAAAACAAGTTCTCACCTCCACAGTGAAAGGTTTTGAAATTTGCTTTGGAGTCCGGAGTCACCTGTAGGCTAGACCAGGTGAGGGGTGGCAGATTTACTTCCCTAAAGGGCATGAGTGAACCAGATGGAGCTCTATGTTAAAACAATTGTTAGCTGTCATGGTCGCCATGACTGTTTTGTTTTGGAATATGAAGTTCATTTCAAAGAACTGTGGATGCTGGAAATCTGGAACAAATACAGAAACAGCTGGAGAAACTCAGGGGATTCTGCTAGCGTCTGTGGAGAGAAAGCAGAGTCAACGTTTCGGGTCCAGTGATCTTTCTTCAGAACCAGTCCCGAAACTCTGACTCTGCTTTCTCTCCACAGACACTGCCAGATCCACAGAGTTTCTCCTGTTTTTGTTTCAGCTTCATAAATCCACAAACCTGGAATATGAAGCTGAAACAAAAACAGAAATAGCTGGAGAAACTCTGTGGGTCCTGCAGCATCTGCGGAGAGAAAGCAGAGTCAGAGTTTCGGGTCTGGTTCTGAAGAAAGATCACTGGACCCAAAACATTGACTCTGCTTTCTCTCCACAGACGCTAGCAGAATCTCCGGAGTTTCTCCGGAGTTTCTCCAGCTGTTTCTGTTTTTGCGTCAGCTTCATATTCCAGGTTTGTGGATTGAATTCAAGTATCACCACCAGACAGAGTGGGATTTAAACCATAACACTACCATTACTGCTATTTTACTACATGACTGCCAAAGGTGATGGGACCTCTACATTTTTATTGCTTCAAGTTTTGGCATTTCATTCCATCAAGACCAGCCTGGGGCTGAGCTCCAGCCACAAATCAGCCGCCCCTCTCTCTCACTCAACACCGGGACCAGCAAGTGTGGCGTTGGGGGCAAGGCAAGAGGCCATTTGGCCCATTGCTGGCAGTGCCAGCCCCAGTGATTCACTCACCTGTTTGAGGAAGTCCTGGACGATGCTGTGTTCAGAAACCTGCGAGCCAATGGCAAAGCGACGCTTTAGCTGCTTCTCAACACGAGCCAACATCTCCTGATCCTCTGCTGTGGTGAAGCCCTCAGCTCCTGGGCAGGGGCGGGGTGCAGGAAGGCAGAAACACAGGTTCAGAAGGCCCCAGAGTGCAGACTCCCTCTCTCCATTGTAACGCCTATACCGGCAGAACACTAGGACAGAGGACCCAGCCCCTGAGATCACAGGGCAGCCCTTCCAAACCCATCTCCCCCAAAAAAATAGGCTTTATTGCTCCCCTGGCAACAGCCAGCCAATCCTGCCCTCCCCCTCCCACTGAGCAAGGGGTGGCACTGGAGACCCCCCTCCCAAAACCTCTCCAAGTTCTGGCGCATTGGAACACGACAAGGCCAGCAAACCCCATCCTCTCAACAACTGCCACCCCACCTCCTCACTCACCGGCCAGACTTCCTGACAGCGCTGCGTCCAGGGTGGAGACCTGGAAAAGCCGCAGGGCTTCCTCAACGTCACGCTCCGTGGCAAACGGCTGCAGCTTCATCTTCGCCAGTGACTCGGAAATCCGGACGATGGCCTCCAGCTGCCTGCAGAGGGGAGGAGCGACCAAGGCTAAGGTGGGTCAGCAGATACAGGGGCAGGGGCGGGGGAAACCGGCACGAGCAGGGAGCAGCGTGGACGGCGACCCAGGGAGCGACAGACACTGACAGAGACGGGTACTGACCTGACTGTGATCGGGATGCTGCTGCTCCGATCACTCTCTCGCTCGTGTTCCCGTGCCCCACTCCGCATCAGGATGTACTGGTTTTTCAGCTTCTCTGCAGCCTCTGCCGACAGCCTGGGCCCACACTTCCTGCAGGAGATAAACCCCCGAGGTGGGAAGGTTATAAACACAGAAACCTTACGCCCCAAAACTAAAACCTACCAACACCCCTGAACCACCCCACCCCAAAATAAAACTGTGGATACTGGAGATCTGAAACATACGATAAAAAAACAGAACAGCTTCTGTTGGAACTGTTGGCTTGGAAGCGTTAACTCTGTTTTCTCTCCACAGTTGCTGCCAGATGAGGAGTTTCTCCAGCACTTCATTTCGGTGTTCCCACCAAACCCAGTCCCAAACACCCACCCAGCAGAGCCAACAGCTTGTACTGGGGGCCACACAGCCTCATCAACCCCTCTCCCAGCACACAACCACCCCTCCCACCAGCCAGCACACAAAAACAAGACGGCTATTTGACCGCACAATGCAACACAGTTCACCTCCCCGTCATGCTGGCATATGCACAACTCCAGGCTAAAATATACTGCCCAGGGTGGGGCTCAATCCCCAGGCCTTGCCCAACTCCGAGCCACTGTCTGAGGCATCAATTGGAGTTCCACCCCCTCCCTGGTAAACCCAGTGACCCCCAAAAGCAGCACCGTCGCCTCTCTCACATACGTGCGGCAGTACGAGATATATCGTTTCAGCTTGCTGAGCTCGATCTCTCCCTCAACAGCCTGGGTCTGGGTCAGGGCACTCAAATGCACATTCATGACGTGTTTGGCCAGAGTCTGCCGCAGAAAAAAAAACATACAAAGAATGAGTCTCCTGACAAACTGAAAGGAGCAGATCACGAGGTAATCAGCTGGTGCATAATTCACTCTAGGTACCACAGAAATTTATCCTAACTATTCACAGAACATGGTTATTACCATCCCTAACTGCCCTTGAACCTAGTGGCTCTCAAGGTCACTTCTGAAGAAAATTAAGAATCAACCATATTGCTGTGGTTCTGGAGTCTCGTGTAGGTTACTCCAGGCAAGAACAGCAGTTTCCTTCTGTACAGAGCATTAAAAACCCATTCGGCCCACTGCAGTAATTGTTGATAGTCGTCATGTTCACCGTTACTGAGTCCAGCTTCAATTTCACAGTCTAAGCCACCTCAATGGAGGGGTGGGGTGCTCCAGAATCTGTAGATGACAGCCAGCATCCCATCCATTCCAAAGCCAAATTCTCATCAATTCACCCCACAGCCTCTCCCCACATTTTCAAACAGAATCCTCAGTGATTCACCTCGCCGCTGACCCTAACGTCCCCCATGCTCCTCCCATTCCTCACCATGTCTCTCTCCTCATTGTGCTCATCCTTCACGATGAAGATCATGTCAAATCGAGACAGGATGGTTGGCATGAAGTCTATGTTTTCCTCTCCTTTCGTATCGTCCCAGCGCCCGAAAACAGAGTTTGCCGCAGCCAGGACCGAGCAGCGGGAGTTCAGGGTGGTCGTGATCCCAGCCTGTGGAATAATCAGTATTCCCGTCAATCCTCCAAGTCTCAGATATTCCCGCAACACACAGCCCTGGGCAACCTCACCCTGTCACCCGACTGTGTCCCTGGCAACCCTCCCCTCCTGTGTCCCCACCTGGCCAACTTTAACCTAAGCACCAACACCCACCCAATCTCCCAGGCCTAACACCTCAAGCAATCTAGTCCAAAACTAGGCCTTCACACCAG